AGATCTGGCTGAACTAGTTTAAACTGGTTGTTCAGGCTACTTCCTTATTGCTTTGTCTGTTTTTCATTATACTTAGAACCCATAAAAGATCTGGTAAATGGTTTTAGTATGCTCCCTTGTGGCTATGGGTAGTAGTTACTTTGTAAGTCTGTGTTATTTGCTGAATTTAAGCAATTTTGTTGATAAAGCCAGCTTAGTCTACTGTATTGTATTTCTGTTTATTAAATGTTATTTGTTGTTGATGTAATTTTAAGTGTGAGGTTTGCACATTTGATTTCTCTTTCATTTACAAAATACTAAAATATTTAAGTTCTGTAATTTAGATCTAAAAACATTCTGAATATGCATAAGTGATTATATTGCCATTATTTGAATATTTACTGTTTTAAATATTTAATATATTGAAATAATATTTAACCATCACCCCATCATCTATGGTAGTTATTGATATTAATGCCTTTTTTTAGTAAAGTGAAGCTAAAATTTAGAAATTTAGGCGATGTGCCCATTGTTACAATAAATCATAGGAGAGCTAGAATTCAAATACATACCTCTGCAAACTTATGTTCTTCAGGAGGTTAGGAACTTAAGAAAATGTATGTAACATCTACTCTTAATGCAACTGTTGATAAGAATTGCAGTTCACTATTTAGAAAAATCTAAAGAATAACCTAAATTAGGATTATTTGTATGTTTGAGGTCAGCATGAAAAAAGAAAAACTACCTAGAATGTGCATCATACTGTTTATGGATTTTTTTCTTTCATTAACATGACTTTGGAATGATTGGTGGGAAAAACCCTGAAGCTTATTAAAATTTTAAACAGCTATTATAGCATCTGATAATTTTGCATTGATATTTGGTTAAAAGATAAAGTTTCTCCACAGTTTTATTCAGTTGTATAATACAAGTCTTGAAAGCTCAGAAGATAGTCTTTTATGCCATTGACTTAATTGAGAAAATTATAGCAGAATGCCCCACAAAGTAATGTGGTGCAATGGTAGTTTCTCACATTGTATTGGCCCCAGGCAAATAGGCTATTAAACCCATTCTTTTATGTTTTCAGCCAGATACCACTAGGAATTTATTATTTGTTACAGAAGGGGAAAATGCTCATCATGTGGAGTCCGTGAGGTCTAGGTACAGGAGAGGAAGACCTTGGATGAGATAGATTGACACAGTCACTGTGGGAATGAGGTCAGGTATGTCAGATATGGTGAAAATGACTAAGGTTAGGCCCAGGTCAGACCTGTTGTTCATAGGGTCACTATGAGTAGTAGTTGTAGACAACATTGTTGTAGTCTTAGTCATAGTCTTAGCACATAGTTACATCAACAGTACAGGATTTGAATCTTGACTGCTCTTTTGGGGTGGTATTTAAGAACGTGAATGAGCCTCCTTCTGGATTGGATGCTTACAGAAAGTGGGAGAGATTTTGTGGTTATATGTCACAGGTTAATTTTATCAAAAGAGAAAGCAGGAGTTCCCTGAATGATACATATGGTTAGATTTCATCTGAAAAAGTTATCAGCTCAGATCCACTCAAATTTGCTCTGGTAGAGTGACCCAGCAATCTGCTTCTCAAAGACCGTAGTCAGGAGTTGAAATCTGCTTGAAGGTTACTGATATGGTTTTGGTTTATAAGTAGGGGAGAGGGATAATAAATTTTTTGCCAGTTATTTATATACAGGTACCTTGTCTAGTGTAACTTATTTATGAACTTTATTTTTTTAATTTACCATAAGAATAATATGACCTAGTCTTAAGCATAAGATTAATTTATGATAATCATAGCACCTTAGCTACTCATATAAATTCCTTAAGATCAGGGACCTGCTGTTTTCCTACATATGCAAAAGCAAGACAGCAAGAAATAAAGGCAAACCATTGATCTCCCCCCCCTTTCTGTTTGGATTCGTATCTTATCACTCTTGCTAAAATCTAGGTGATTTTTTTAAAGAAAGAAACTTAAATAAATATAATTAATATATTAAGAAATAAACTTCTGAATTATTCATAGATGAAAAGAGAAATCACAGTAGTTAGAAAGACTTTAGTAGAATAATGAAAATATGGCACTTGAAAATGAGATGCAGCTAAAGCAGTGCTTAGAGGAAAATTTATAGCTTTAAAAATACATATCTTTTTAAGAAATAATGATTAAAAATTAATGATTTAATTTCTATTTAAACCTAATGGAATAAATGATGACTTAAATGCTTTACATATAGTAAGAAAAATGACATAATAAATACTAAAACACAAATCAGTAAAAATGGAAAGCATGTATAAAGCTGAGAATATCATCAGATTAAAAGCTTGTTCTTTGAAGAAATTAAATTCTACCAAGTTTCATCAGAGCACAAGTATGTCTCCCTCCAATACAGTAATAAACTTACTGAGAAATTTACATATATACATACATTTCACTCAAAGTGTAGATCATTGATTTTTTTCATATATTCGTAGTGTTTGGCCATCACAATCAATTTTAGACTATTTTCATCATAAAGAATCTGTATACCCTTAGGCAACCGTCAATACTCTCTACTTCCTCCATCCCTAGAAATCACTTAACTTACTTTTTGTTTCAAATTTGAACATTCTGGGCATTCCATATAGATAATACTGTTCTGTGCTGTCAGGTTCTGACTCAGTGCTCTCATGTACCATTTTCACAGTTGTTGCTTTGTAAGTTGTTGCAGTCACTGCACTGATCTTGGTTAAGGGCCACCTCCTTTTTGCACTGATCCTCTGTTTTACAAAGTATAATGTAATTGTCCACAGATTAGTACTTTCTAATAACATGTATAACAAATGTGATACGAAATCTTGCCAGCTTTATGTCTGAGGCACTTTCTGGCTATCATTCTAAGACATACTTGTTTGTTCTTCTCTAGTCCATGAAATATCTAAAATTCTTTGCCAGTACTATAATTCAAATGTATCAGTTTTTTGTCATTCTTATTTACTATCATTTTGAGAGGTGATTGAAAATGCTGTGGTCAGAAGCCACCTTAGTACTTCTATATAGTGACATTTTTACATTTTAATGACTTAAAGACATACTATGATAGGATCATAGTATGTGCATAGTGGTTGGTTGTTGACTGGGTTCTGTAATATAAAAATGTTTTCAAGATTTATCTGTGAGTGGCATGTATCAATCAATATTTCATTTTTTTCCCCAAGGCTAAAGAATACTCTATTGTATTTATACAAGTTCTTCCCACTATCTGAGTTCCTATGGAACCTTTTGCAAACAGAAATGATGATAAAGCTTCAGTTGTCAGTTTACATGGGAAGATTGCGAATTCCTAGACCCCAAAACTAATATACCAAGTAACACATAAAACTTAAAATAACATTACATGTAGTATTCATAGATAACACTTAAAAGCTGTTTTGACTTGCTACTTGGACTAAAAACTGTAATTCTAGAGAATAAAATTGATAACTGGAATTCCTTAGCTTGAAGTACATGCTGCCTCTTTAATGATTTGGTAAAAACAAACTTTATATGCTAGTATTTTACCTTTTTTTTTAAAATAAAAGTAAAAATTAAGATTTTTTTATTAGCAAGAGCAGATACTAATGCAAGTCTTTTATAAAATTGAAGTGGTATAAAGTGAACTTGGCAAAGTGGAGGACATGTGTGTATCATATGTTTAACCTTTTTGTTAGTTGATGGACATTTGTATTGCTTCAAGTTTTTTGCTGATATGAATAATAATGCCTGTGAGGATTCATGTACCCAGATTATGTGGAGACATAAGTTTTTGTTTCTCCTAGTATTGACATAGAAGTGACAACACTGGCAGTATTAACATGGAGGAGCTACCAGCCTGATTCCCCACTAGAATAATATCATTTCCGCTCATGTTGATCAGCATTTATTATTTTAATAAACTCAAACTTGTTTCCACCAAGTTGAAATTGACTCATAGCTTACCCTCCACCGACTGGGCTTTCTGAGGCTGTAAATTGGATGGAAGATTAATTCATCTTTCTGCTGCTGATAATTTGAACCACCTGGAGAGTGGACTTTGACATCTCCCTACAGACTTTATTACCGGAACTCCCATCTGATAGGGTGCACTGGTAAACTTCATTAAACAAATTTAAAACATGCTTCTCACTTCAGAATTTTAGAGGACTTAAACAACCCAAGGGGTGGTTGTTGTTGTTAAGGGGAGGTGGTTCAAATTCACCACAGCTCTGAGGTAAAAAGCCATCTCCTCTCATTTGATTTATAGCCTCAGAAACCCAAAGGAGGGATAGCTATAAGTTGGTTCCAGCTTGACGACAAGTGAGAGAAGGTGTATGAAGTATTGTCTCATTGTGTTTTTTATTTACATTTTTTTCTAGTGAGATTAATGTTAAACATCTTTCCACATGGTGATTGACATTTGTATCTTTTTTGAAGACACTAGTCAAGTTAATTTGCTGATTTTAAAATGGATTGTTTCTCTTCATTGAGTTAAAACAGTTATTTATATCTTACATCTATTTTAGCTATACATCTGAATCAGATAAATCATTTGCAAATATTTTTCACATATTATGTGGGTTGTCTTCAAAATGTGCATGGTGATGAATATGTTATTCACTGTTCCTTTTCATTAGTTTTGCCTTGTTTTGTTGTCTCTTAAGTTTCTTTCAGTTCCTTATTCTTTATTTCTTCCGCATTTTCTTTGTCAACCAGAATATTAATCAGCTACCTTCTTAAAAATTTTTATGTATCTTTGAAATTCTTTAACTCAAGAATGAGTACTAGTCCTATTTATTGTACTAGTTCTTATAATTAATTTCTAGTCTAGACTACACCTGTTTATAATTTTTGTATCACTTAAATCTAGTAAATAAGAAAATTAACTTCCATCAGGGATCATTGTATTTTTTTAATGCCGTTATTGCACAATTTTATTCCTTGTTTTTCTTATAAGAATAATTTGCTGTGTTAAACGAACTCTTTTTTCTCTCTTTTTTAAAGATTCAAAATGGATGGTATAGAAGAACCTCAGAAAAAAATCTTTAAGGCTCGAAAAACAATGAGAGTAAGCGATCGCCAACAACTTGAAGTAGTGTACAAGGTCAAAGAGGAATTATTAAAGACTGATGTCAAGCTGTTAAATGGAAACCATGAAAATGGAGATTTGGATTCAACCTCACCTTTGGAAAATATGGATTATATTAAAGATAAGGAAGAGATTAATGGTATTGAAGACCTTTGCTTTGACCCGCAGCAAAGTAAAACAGAATGGAAAGAAACACCCTGCATCTTAAATGTTAGTGTTAAAAATAAGCTGAATGATGATGTAAATAGTGAACATTTATTTCCTAATAGTATCATTCCTCAACCAGCCTCTCCACTGACTTCTAAACCACCCTCTGATCTTTTGGCCCCTGGTGATTCTGTCTCTGAAGTACTGGCCTTGGGTGATCCTGCCTCTAGTGATCCTGCCTCTGCTGATCCTACTTCTGGTGATCATACCTCCAGTGATCCTGCCCCTGGTGAACAAGCCACTGGTGAAACTGCCTCTGGTGATCCTGCCTATAGTGATCACACCTCCAGTGATCCTGCCTCTGTTAAACCCACCTCTGGTGAACCCACCACCTCTGGTGAACCTGTCGCCTCTGGTGAACCCTCTTCTAGTGAATCTGCCTCTGTTGGTCCCACCTCTGATGAACTTCCCTCTGATGAAGCCACATCTAGTGAGCCTGCACCAAATGATCTGGTATCTGGTGATCAGGCCTCTGGTGATCAGTCCTTTGGAGCACTAACAGCTGGTAAACCTACCTCTGATGAACCAGCCTCTGATAAATCAGCCTCCATTGAACCAACCTCTGATGAACCAACCTGTGGAACTTTGGCTTCTGATGGTCAGCCAGCCATTGAACCCTGTTCTGTACCAGTTTGTGAAGCAGTTCCTGAAACTACAGAACCTAATAGCAATAAAGATGATGATTTTCTTGTAAACAGTAAGAATGATGAAAAGTTAGATGAAACTAAGATTAAAGACTCAAGTGAAGAGAAAAATCAAGGTGTTGGTAATATTGAAGCTAATGAAGAAGCTTTAGAAAAAGATGAATCTCTTATTTGTTCAGATCTACCTCCTGAAAAGGAAAAGAAGGTAGAAGAAGATGGTCTCCCAGAACTTGCTCTTGAAGAAGAGGCTATATCTAGTAGTATGGAAATTGATCAAAATGAGAAAAATGAAGATGAAAATTCTTCAGATCTTGCAGAAACTATTAGTAAAAATGTTATAGAAGTCGATAAAAATGAGAATATGTTAGAAAATACAGATTCCATGGAGACAGATGAAATTATTCCTATTCTGGAAAAGCTTGCACCTGCTGAAGATGAACTTACTTGCTTCTCTAAAACTTCACTCCTTCCAATTGATGAGACAAATCCAGAGTTGGAAGAGAAAATGGAAGGTTCTTTTGGTTCACCATCTAAACAAGAAAGTAGTGAGAGTTTGCCAAAAGAAGCCTTTTTGGTCCTCTCTGATGAAGAGGATATTTCAGGTGAAAAAGACGAGTCTGAAGTTATACAAAGTGAGACATGCTCTCCAGGTTAGCAGATATTTTAAATGTCAGAAATTTTTTATTTGTAAACTGTATAACAAAATCATTCCCATTAAGTTTTAAATCATTTTCGTCACTGAGAAGAAGTTGAAGATGGTGGTAGATGAGTATTTTTCACTTTACAGAATTTAAATTAAAAAGTACCCCTTCTGTGGGTAGCTTTTTGCTGAGTGGTAAGAATGGAAATGAAATTAGTAAATTACCCTTTGCAGCTTTTTTCCTTTAAGAGATTTATAGTCTAGGAATAGAAATAAGTTATACCAACAGACTATAAGAAATAATAATTTCAAGTCAATACATAATGATTAAAATCATAGCAGTTTTTCTTCCTTGCTACCACTTTATAAACAAATAAGTTGGGGTCTAAAAGTCTAGAGATTTACCTTAGTTGTGCCAAGTGTAATAAGACGTATTTCCAATCAATTTTATAAAGAAATATGATTCTTTTGTTAGGTAACATCGCCACCATTACATAAAGTCAGAAACATTGACGCTAGAGTAATATTTGATAAATACTTTATCCATGTAATCCCTTCACCCTCTTCATATTCTGTCTCATCTCTTCTGACTCATCTTCTGGAAGACCTTCCTATAAATCAGTTTTAAAACTCGATTGTTTCTCTCTCTTTCATTAGATGTCTACTACTTTTACATTAATTCTAATTCTTTACACAAAAGCTGTATGCATTATGATTTGCTCAATGCTTCCTTTTATTTCTTAATTATTTGCAAAGAAAAAGAAAATATGGAAAATCTTTCTTTGCATTCATGATCAAACTCATGTATCTTTGCTGTGTAAAACCTCATTCCCCATTCAGATTGTGCAAATATATATCACATTCTCTTAGATTTAGAATTTCACAGGAAGAGTAATCTTGTTAGCATGAAATATATAGCAGCTGATTTGTAGTTTGTTGAAAAAGAGAGGCAGACAGAGGAATCTCTTCTTCAATTTATCATCAATTTTGGGAGACTTTTAATTAAAAGTTTATTTCATTTCTTAAAAAAAAAAAAAAATTATTCACCAAATCTGTTTGGAAGGACCAGCTAACTTCTTGCTTCTGGAAATTTAAAGTTAGGAATTCAGCACTTAAGCATGCAAACAAAGCATTACTTCACAGATTAGTAACTCTAATTTAATGAATACAATGCTAATGTTAAATTGCTGTTTTGAGATTGTAGAGCTAGGTAGTTTTACTAGAGCCCAAGACTAACTTAGAGTTGAGTATGACTCATAGTGACCCTATAAACAACAAATCTGAACTCTGCGCTGTCGTTACTTTTCTTGACACATAAAAGTCCATTGCCACAGATGACTGTATCAGTACATCTTGTTGAGGCTCTTCGCGCCTTCACTGACCCTCTGCCTTTCCCAGCATATCCCCTTTCAAGGAATCACTTAATATCCAAAATGGTGAGATGAAACTTCACCATTTTTGCCGCCAAGGAACACTCTTTGCCAACAAAGAAAGTGGTTGCACTTTCTCCAAGACACAACTGTTTGTTCTTTTGGCAGTCTGTAGGATATTCAGCTCTCTTCTTCAACACCAAAATGAATACATCAGTCAGTTCTTCTGCTGTCATCCTTGTCCAGCTCTCAGATGCATAGCAAGTGAATGGAAAAACTGTGGCTTGAATTAGTTGAACTTTAGTCTTGAAACTGACATCAGTTTAAAGATCGGACTTTAAGACTTTGAAAAGGTACCTGAGAGCAGACTTTCCCAGTGCTATTCGTCTCCTGATTTGCTGACAGCTGGTGGTCTTTTAGGGTCCCTAAAATGCAGATGAACATCTTCCTAGTATCCCCTGCTTTAATGCTCTACAACACAGTTTTTCTGTCTATATTTAGTGAGATCTTATTAAGGACAAATAAATATTAAACACATAATTTATTCATTGCCTTTCCCAAAGTTTAATTTGAGGTTAAATTGTGAAATCTAGGTTTCACCTTGATTCAGTTACCTAATGTGTTTCTAAAGGAAGAATACCACAAAAATTTGTTGTGATGCATTTATGTCCAAGAGTAGAGCAATTATAACAAACTATTCGATGAATAGAAATAGAATCTAAAAGTATCTGTTTTATCATATATTTGGATGAGTTAGAGGAGTCCTAGGACTTAGCTAAAATGATACAGAAATATGCCTATGTGCGTGGACTTTTGCTTATTTTGAGTAGAAGATCTATTCATAGACTGTCTTGAGGCACTGTGAATAGAAAATGAAATACTTTGTAGAATCTGTTAATTCCATTTTTAAAAATCTTAAATTTGCTGAAAATATAGTCATTTTGCGGGCTTACTTGACAAACAGGAAAGGGGGATACAAGGCTACTTTTTGTGTCAAATGAAGGAAGCTTGAGTTAAGCTTCACATTATCTATTGTGGAAGGAAGATAACACATATATATATAAACCAGAACTAACAAGGCAAATTTTATCTGCTGTGTTCTGCTTGAAGTTACTCTAATAGGGGATGTTGCATATTTTGTGCCTTTGTTGTAATGTTGTTGTGTACTCTCGAGTTAGAACCAAAGCTGTTGCTGTCAATCCTAGGGGGTTTTCAGAGGCAGTTAATCACATGAGAGGAGATGCTCATCCTACCATGGAGATCTCATGGCTTAGTCCAAATAGCATGGGTTTAACATTTTTATTTCCTTTTTAACTAGTAATATGACCTAAATGAGTCCGTCTATCTGGTCAATATTTTGAGCTTTCTGTAGTTTTATATTGTTTAGTAATTGTCAAGCCATACTGTAATAACTGACTAGAAAAGAATCTTAGTACTTTATAGTAGTTATTTTTACTTTTTATTAATTCTGAGGATGGCAGATTACTAAGATTCTTTGTTTTGAAATCTGTATAGCTAATTTTTTTCTTATGTTAAAATTACAAATTTGCAGAAACATGAGCAGTGTTCACTGGGGCAATTCCTTTCTACCAGTTGATTTTCCCTCTTCTCAAAAATTTCATATTTTAAAAAACTTAATAAGATTATTAACTGACAGTAGTTAACAAAAATGCAAATTGCAATGAATTTACATGTATTCCAATGAAAGTAAGATTTTATATTTGGTTTTTATTACAGCTGAAGTAGAAAGTAATGAAAAGAACAGTAAACCTGAGGAAGATGACGAAGTAATACATGAAAATGTTGAAAGACCTGAGAAAAGTATGCATGTTATAAACCCAGCTTGAACTAGTTTAAAAACAATTCCTTGTTTCTGACTTTAAAGCCATAGATTAATGTCCATGAGATAATCTTAAACTTTACAACTTAATTAAATATCTTGATAACTAACCCTGGGTCCTTTGAAGGTACTACTTATACTTCAGTGAATTATTTCTACTTTTCATTGTTACACAAGAAAGGTTTAAGTTTAATATTTAGTATGTTATAATTTGTTATACATTATAAACATTACTATACATATAATGCATAAAATATTATAAATAAGTATTATATAAGTGATAAATTGTTTAAAATTAGGTTTAGGCCATTGAGCTCCCAAGTTTCTTTTCTGGTCTATTACATGTTTTATCAAATAGTAGGAACATGTTTCACCATAAGGAGAAATGGAGGGGATGATTATTATTACACTTAAGAAATAGATCAGTGGACTAGCAATTCAGAAACTTGGGACTTGTCACTCTTACAGTCATGTTCTTCTGTTTGAGACTATGGATAAGTTATTTAAATATAAAGGAAAAAGTCTAGAATAAAAAATAGGTACATAAGTAGAGATGTATAATGAGATAGGAATAGAGTAAGATAAAAGCATTTGTGTTTTAAAAAATGGAGATTTTATTTTCTATATTGAAACAAAACTAAATTTTCCTGATAATTTTACATGAATGTTACTTATAATTGAAATAGAAATTTTATAAGTGAAGATTTATCTGTTTTTGCATGTGTAATTTACAGTTATTTTTGTTGTTGTTTTTATATGTTGTCGAGTTGCTTGCGACTCATAGCGACCCTATGTACAACAGCCCTAAACTCTGCTCTGTCCTGTGCCGGTTGCACTGTCTCTGACACTCCCACCCCAATTATCCCAGTCACTGAGTCAATCCACCTCATAGAGGGCCTTCCCCTCCTGCACCGTCCCTCCACCCTACCAAGCATGATATCCCTCTCCAAGTTACGTATTTAAAATTCATAAGTCTATATTAAGGACACCGAGCTCTGGTAGCCTTGTGGATAGGATATTGCACTACCAACTCAAAGGCACGTGGTTCAAATCCACCAGCTGCTCCAAGGGAGTAATTTGGGCAGTCTTCTCTCATGGAATTTACAGCATCAGAAAACTCGTGTATCAGCTGTGAGTCGCTTCTGACTTGACAGTAATGAGTGAGAGAGCAAAGGATGTTAAGAATAACTGTTAAATGTATTATCTTCCTCCTCCCCTGTATTTACTGAGGTGGAAGAATGAAATAACTAAAGCTTTGCAGAACTGTTGGAAATTCTATGCCATGAGAAGAAATATTTTGTCAGTGGATTCCTGAAATTCAGCAAAGGGAATCAATCAGTATGAAATAAAATCTTTTCTCCTTTGTATAACACAATTGTTAATACAGTACAATTCTCATCTATAATGATTTTAAGGAAAGAATGTTCTTCCCTCACATTCTGTATTTCTTATTTAGGAAATTCTTATATTGAATCATTTCAAGTTTAATACTAAAAGCTAAATCTAAAACACCTACGATTAATACATAAAAATTTTTGTTTTTAAATGTGTACATAAAATAATTTCACTTCAAATCGAATACCTGATTGGTTGAGAATGCTGTTGTGTTTGATAGAAACCGTAATTTAGTGAGGATGGAGGGTAGGCATTAAGGGTATAATACAACTAACTACCTGATGTGTCATTATCATACTTCCTTTTCTCAGATGACTTTTCCAGGAGAAAGCGTGCTAAATCAGAGGACATGGACACTGTGCAGACCAAACGTTGTCGATACATGGAAGAAGAATATGAGGCAGAATTTGAAGTAAAGATTACAACTAAAGGAGACATTAACCAGAAGCTTCAAAAGGTGTTACAGATTATAAGTTAAAATAATTACCTAGTTTCACTGTCATTAAGCATCTTGTATTCTAAAATTTGAGTAATAGCACTCACTGAGAGAGCCTAGCAAGAATAGTAAAAATCATTAAGACAGCAAACAGTGAATCCTGGCTAGATTGAAACTTACTTATACTACTGATGGTGGTTGTTGTTGATGTATGCCATTGAGTTGACACTGACCCACAGCTGACCCTGCAGTGGGTTTTCAGATGCAGTAAATCACATGGGAGGAGATTGCCCTATTATCTCTTGTGGAGCATCTGGTGTACCTTTGGGATTGCAGGACAGCTTTTTACCATAGATCACTGGAGAAGTTGTTGCTGTTGTTAGGTGCCATGGAATACGACTTAAAGCATAACATATGAACAACAGACAACAGATCTGAACCCTGTCCTATTCTGTGCCATCTTCCTGACGCATTAGACCCAATTGTGGCATTCACCATGTCAGGGTAGCACTTGGTTGAGGGTCTTCCTCTCCCTGACCAACCCTCAACCCATCATGTCCCTCTCCAAGGAATAGCCCCTCCTAACAACATGCCTGAAGTATGTGAGGCAAAGCCTCATCATCATCCTTGCCTCCAAAGAGCACTCTAGCTGCACTTTTTGGCAGTCCGTGTCCATGTTCAGTTCTTTTCAGTTCAGTGCTCTTCTCCAACACCACTGCTCAAAAGCATCAATTCTTCTGCTATTCCTTTTCATTGTCCAACTTTCAAATGCATAACAAGTGATCTGAAAGACCATGGCATGAATCACATGCATCTTAGTCCTCAAACTGACATTATTACTACTCAATAACTTAGTCCCCTAACTGCAGACTTTGCCAGTGCAGTATGTTTCCTGATGGTACAACCACTGTGAGAAAGCAGGTTGACTCTTCATTTTAAAAATTGGGAATAGGAATTAATTGATAAATATGATGAATAATAACTTGAGCATAACATATATAGTCCAAAGAATTAAGAATTGCCATGAGGATATAATATGCACATCCATGATCATTGCAGCATTATTTATGCAAGCAAAGATGTAGAAACAGCTCAGGTGTTTATCACAGGTAACATGAACAGATTAAATACACAGTGATTACTGTGCAAACTAAAACACTACAAAGAGACCATTAAACATTATATAATATGGCTGCATCTAGAGGAAATTACCTTAAGTAGAAAAAGTAACAAAAGGACTATGACACTACAAAGATCTTATTATAAAAAGCTAAGGAGAATGCTACACACAAATAATTCTTTTTGGATTGTTACCAGGTATGGTTAAGAAGGGAGAACAGAATAAAAAGAAAAAAGCTGGGTGATGGGAAAGAATATATGATAGAGTTGATCAGTGTAATTAATGACAGTAATTATCTTGCTAAGCAAAATGACTATGAATGATTGATTGAAAATCAATATAATTTATAAACTTTCAGAAAGAGTCAACAAGATGTCATAGAGGGCCTTTGTATTTAAAAGTTGGTTGTTACTATATTTTGGAGAAACAGTCTTCCTTTTTTTTATTGTTTCATGTGTTTCCCCCCCCTTTTTAATTAATTTTAATAGACATTTACAGAGGTTATGGATTTCCATTCATTCATTGCCACACTTTTCTCCCCTCCCACCCCTCCCCACCAGTTCGCTCCCCTCTCAGAAAAGAAAAAG